AACAGCCCTGACTCCCAGACGGACTTTGATGAGGGAGGCCGAGTTGTCTCTTCACCTCGGCTTCCCTTTGGCGGCCCCACAACCCTCACTGAGTTTAGAAGGCCCCTCATTTAGAGTTTTCCTGGAATTGGAGTGCGTGGGGGGGGTTAACTTGAGCAGACGGTAGTCACTCTTTTATTATTAGGTCAACATCAAACAGATGTGAAAGTCCTGTGCAAAACTTGGCATCAGGACCACCTGAGGAAAGCCAGGCAGGGCTCTACACGATCAGAAGATCTCAGGAGTGTTCAGAACTGCATTCTGATGAGTTTATGCTTAAGGAGGAATGCTGTGGAAGACAAATACGGCTCTCCCTCCTTTTAGCACCCTCCTCCACATATCTTCATTTGCTCCCTGAACACCCCACCCCCACCCCACAATCTGTGGTTAATAGAACTTTCTGAGGACTTCTTACATAATCCTGAACACTTGAGACCAGACTGTGATGTTGTCTTGTGTTTTTTTTCTTCAGCCCCTTTCCCCTTCATCAGAATGGATGCTGAAGACAGGAAATGTGTGACTGGGTCAAATTCTCTGCCAAAAGTCCCTGAGAGGTCACTGCATGAAGCTGTGAAGGTGAGGCCTAACTTGTGATGGAGACCTCGAGATGCGGGAAATGTCAGGCACAATGTGAAGCTGGCCCAAGAGAGGGCTTCCATGTGCTGTAGGTGGCAAAGGTTGGCAAGGTGAGGCTGCCAAAGGTTATTAGAGCCCAGGTGATGCCGCCACAAGCTCCATATGCCAAAGACAGAGGCGTCAGTTCTGGTGTTTCCCCTGCTGGCTTTTGTGTTGGTTTAGTCCAGTCACTCCTCGCTGTCTGCCCATTCCTCTCTTGTGTAAAGAGCATCTTCAGTCTGTGCCAGGGCGTAGTGGAAGTCTGTACTTACTTTTCACATGGACTTTTGCTTTTCACACATAAGAGCGCACCGACCGAGTCTTAGAAGCAACTTTTGAAGAAGAATCTGCAATGTGTCCCCATGTCCCTATGTCCCGTCATCAAGTGCAGTACAGACTCTCAAGCTTCCCATGTCAGAGCTGCAGGAGAGATGATTACCGAGCCTTACCGCCAGGCTTCCAGAGTTATTGGATTAGGAGCAGGGTCCGAGAATCTGCTTTTCTAACAAACTCTCAAATGCTGCTGATTTGGGAGCCACACTTTGGACAATCATTCTGTATATTTAAGCCTAAC